AATAATATTTTAGTTAATATTTTGAATCATCTGGAAAAACGGGAAAAAAAGATAAAAATTTATCAATTTCTGTATATCGCTGTGATTTCTTCTGATTCAACGGATGCTAAATTCATACTATGATACGCTTCTTGTCTAGTCTTCTCAATGGTTAGTGAGCGCTAAGATTGGCTTTACTTTACTTCTAGACTTATTACACCACCACAGGACATCAAATTAAATTTAGAAAAACACTATTTTATTTTCAGAATGCATTTCGGACATAGAGTCCCTCATCAGCTATTTGCTACAAAACTAATAGGAGGTTAACAATTTTATAAAAAGGCCGTGATTGACAGAAATGAACAAAAAGGTGGACATACATTTCACATTTGGATTCGACGCGTTGAACATTAATTAAAAGATAAAGCATACGGTATACAAGATTTCTCGTTAAAAACGGTAATGTTCGTGCAATAACGTAATAATAAACAGAGGTTCTGGTAAAACAGTAGAGTTATAAAAATATACATTGTTAACGAAATGATAAGTAAATTCACAGTAACACGAACAGAGTAACAAGACGATTCGAAGTGCATTCCAGGATGACTGTCACCCTCATTCCTATCCGTTTTCACAGCTCTCTCCTCCCCCCACGCCTCCTCTGGTCAAATATGCGTACCACGATTCATGTAATTTCTTGCCAGAGTTGTTATTCATGATTTTCTCTTTGTTTTTAATGAAGGAAACCCATGATTTTCTCTTTGTTTTCATTTAAGGAAACCCAACAAAACGAAAGGTACCGGTTAAACGTAGACATTTGGTATTTAAAAACTTGTCTCAGAGAGGGCCTATCCCTACCAACTTTAAAATTAAAAGCCAGCATTGCAAAAGATATGCAGAAACATGACGTAGTTATTGTGGAAAAAATAATAATGAAATCTGTTATTCGCCGTAAAAAATACAGGGTTAAAAAACTCACTAGACAAATCAAGAAACTACGAAACGACTCAAACACCAACAGAAAGGAACCCCTTACAAAAAATAATCAGGATTAGTTTAACAATAAGTACCAGAAACTTGTCAAAAATCTAAATTACCCAACTATTCAAGAAAGAGAAATCTGGCTGAATAGCACAATTGTCAACTTAAGTAATGTCCAAATACCGATTGATATTAGAAAAACACTAAGCAAAGGCTTGAGTTTTAACGGTCCCAACACTGTTGACAGGAAAGTGTGGGCTGTCGGTTTAGAAAACATCATTTGTTTATCCGATACAACACAGGAATAGAAAGTTAACTTGAGGGAAGAATTACAGTACGAATTGTCTAAATATAACGTTAATAAAAATAGAAAAAATAAATTAATCCAGTATAGGCACAAAATAGTAAACCTAAAAAGTTTTTTAACTGTTAATAAATTAATAATAGCCAAAGCAGAAAAAACAAAACAAGTAATAATTGTGAATAATGAGCAAGACGCAGACATCTACAAGCAACTGTTGAATCAAAATACGTACATTGAACTGCATAATGATCCAACTAACCTTCTTAACAAAAAATTAAAAAAAGGCAATTGTTAACCTTGAGAAACAACATCTTATTAGCCAAACAGAAAAACATTTTATTCTTAATAGTGAAAACAGAGCACCCAAGTTCTCTTACAGGGTAAAACCCATAAAGTTCCAGTCTCCTATAGACCTCTGGTAGATATAAAAGGATATATCTTTTATAATTTAGAACTTATTTTAAAAGAAAAACTAAACACTCTTGTTAAATCCCCTTATAGCATACAGTGCACTGACTACTTTATACAAAAACTCAAAACTTTAAAGTTCGAGCCCACCTACAGGATTGCCTCCTTGGACGTACGCAGCATGTATCCGTCCATTAAACGCAACAGAATATTAGCTACATTAAAAACCCAAAACTGTCAGCAATGGATCATAGATATGGTAACTCTTGTGTTGGAAAATAATTATTTTGTCAGCCAAAAAAGATTCTTTAGACAATGCGATGGTATCCCCATGGGCTCAATAATAGGACCAATCCTTGCTGAATTAAGTATGTGCAATATCGATCATGACGTTGTCAATATCAAGGGTATAATAGAACTGTACCGTTACGTCGACGACTGTTTTCTCATATATGATGACAACATCATACAGGCGGATAAAATTCTGGAACACGTAAATAAAATAGATAATGACATTAAATTTGACTTAGAACCTGAATGCAACTGTCAGTTACCATTCTTAGACATTCTCGTCACGAGACACAAAGACAAAACAACCTTTAAAAAATATAAAAAACCTTGTACTATTGACAGCGTCATACACTTTACATCTGAAGTACCAACTTATATAAAAAAGAATACTTTCTACATGTACTTGGATAAAATTATGCAACGTACCACATATGATACCGATATATCCAATGAAATCGAAGACATCATAAAAACATACTTATTGAACGGTTATAGCAAGCGCATGATTAGTAACTGGCTTAATAAAAAATATGTTAATGCACACAAACAACCAATTGACAGTACTGCTTATAAATTCCTTACGTTACGAATATTTTTGAAAGAATCAAAAGTAAATTAGTTAAGTATAATATTATTCTGGTACCCGAACATCGCAACAGCTTACATAAGGAAATAAACGTACCTAACAGGAAAGCTAACATATGGGACCAAAAAAACGTTGTTTACAAATTTGAGTGCGACTGTACCACACCCAAATCTTACATTGGTGAAACTAGTAGGGAATTAAAGGTCCGTTTCAATGAACATATCTCTGCCATAGCACACAACAATGATAGCTCGGCTGTAGCCGCCCACTGTAATAATGAAGGCTGTCAGATTGTAAAGGATACTGTCAAAATACTTAGAAAGGAACCAAATACTTATAAAAGAAGATGGTACGAACACTTAGAAATAATTAAAAACAAAGAGAAAATCATGAATAACAACTCTGGCCAAAAATTACATGAATCGTGGTACGCATATTTGACCAGAGGAGGCGGGGGAGGAGGGGAGAGGTGTGAAAACGGATAGGGGTGAGGGTGACAGTCACCCTGGAATGTACTTCGAATCGTCTTGTTACTCTGTTTGTGTTACTGTGAATTTACTTATCATTTCGTTAACAATGTAGGGGAAATACGGACAAAATGACATATACGTACAAAATGACATAGGCAACATAATTCGAATTTGGTGGTCTCAAGCGCACAACTAACCATGACACCACGTTATCCGAGCGGCTTTTACTAACCTGTCAAAATGTGAACGCACTCCTCTCATTCGCCCGGGTGTCATGGCCGACGTCAAAAAATGATACGTTACGAGTTTTTTTCCTCGCAACAAGTTTTTTGTATAGATGGTAAGTTTTTCACTATTTTATCTATTTGTGTAGCATTTATTTCAACCCTCAAGAATTTGTTGTTGCATTTAAATAACCTTTTTCCATTAAAAATAACATCTTTGTATTTATTTTATAATTTTGTTTTTTTATAACGTTATATGGACAAAACGACATACATAGGCAACGGACATAATGACATACCTGTCATTTAGTCCATAAGAGCTTAGTCAAGGTACTTAGCTTAACCTCTTAACGTTTTATTAATTATAAAAAATGGCTTTCAAAAAAAGTCTTTCATTATTGTTTAAAAGAAATTTTAGTATAAAACTTTATTTCCTTTCTTACGTATTATTACAAACTTATTATTTTTCACATAACAAAAAACTTGCAACGAATCACGTGACTCGACAAACATCTTTAGTTTCAACTTCTATTCCTAATATAAAGGCAATTAAATAAAAAAATGAGCCAAAAGCTCTGCCAGAAAAAAGGAGACGAAACATTACTAACTCGAGGAAAAAAATTTTCTTGATAACTCTCCAGATGATGAAAAAGACTGTCCATGCATATATTGCAATGATCTTTTTTCCCGATCTAAGCCTGGAGAAGACTGGTTACGGTGCATAAATTGTTTCCGTTGGGCTCACGTTTCTTGCGCTGACGTTCCTAAAAGAGCCAAGTATTTCATTTGTGAACTTTGTCAGTAATTTTATAGTTTTTACGTGTGTCATTTTGTCTTTACGTAATGTGTCATTTTGTCCATAGTGTATGTCATTTTGTCCATAGTGGATGATCTCGATTAAACTAACAATATTTTTTCCTATTATTTTAATATTGAGAGTGTTTAGTATATTTCATAGGTAAAATACCAAAGATGATTGGTGTAGAATATGACAGTGCTGTGATTTACCAATAAAGAGTTATGAACCTAAAATAAAACTGTATTTCATTTTGTCCGTATTTCCCCTATATTTTTATAACTTTACTGTTTTACCAGAACCTCTGTTTATTATTACGTTATTGCACCAACATTGCCGTTTTTAACGAGAAATCTTGTATATCGTATGCTTAATCTTTTAATTAATGTTCAACGCGTCGAATCCACATGTCAAATGTAAGTCCACTTTTTTGTTTATTTCTGTCAATCACGGCCTTTTTATAAAATTGTAACCTCCTATTAGTTTTGTAGCAAATAGCTGATGAGGGACTCTATGTCCGAAATGCATTCTGAAAATAAAATAGTGTTTTTTTAAATCTAATTTGATGTCCTGTGGTGGTGTAATAAGTCTAAAAGTAAAGTAAAGCCAATCTTAGCGCTCACTAACCATTGCTAAATTCTTGTTAAATAGAAATTTGCCAAGAGTATGATTGCATCAGAAGCGAACCTCTATTTTATATGTTATTGGGTGCCAATTATGGCACCCAATTCCATATAAAATAGAGATAGTAACCTCAATCATGACTGCTTTTATTCACCTAACTGCTATGCCATAACCTTTTTCGCCACACAAAAGGATAAGTGTTAGTTTATTGTTACCCTCGATATAGTCGTGTTATCGTAGTTTCAAACACACATTTAATATATATATTCGTCACGTATATCTGTTGTGTATACAGATTTTTATACATGAAATTAAATAAATAGTTTAGGTGTAAATAAGGTTTTTCTGAGCTCCAATCGAGAGAACCGACACGACCCCTCTGCCACTCGAACTAGCTCTTGAACTAATCAAGAACTAGATCAGCCAATCGGAACTATTTAGATTAAAGGAATTGCGAATTACAGAGCGGAATTTTAATTAATTTAATTTAAAATATATGCTCACCACCTCAAGTTACTGGATTCTTGCCCCTGTACCTTATACTTTTCCTGTTAGCAATAGAGACGTATCTAATCTTCCTAACTCCTTTCAGCTGAAATAATTTTTTCTCGAACTAACGTAACTTTCAATTTTCATCAACATTTATGTACAATTAATCGCTACTTCCTGCTCCATTGTTTCCATATCTGCTGTCGACTGTAATCTTTATAATTTCATTCTCGAGATTTAAAATGGACAGACAAACAGAAAACACTAGAAATTTTTATATTTGTAATTTCTAAAAATGGCATACTGAAGATTACCCAAAAATGATAGTAAATAGATAGCAAAATCAACTTAATATTTAATAAAAACGAATTAGTATGTCAGAAATAGTCAGAATAAAATATATTAAACAAAGTTTTGAAAAGATTAGAACGAAACTTAAAATTCCAGATCTTATATTAATTATTTCTGATACAAACAAGTAAATAAAGAGACATATCCAAAAGGGAAAAAATCGAATATATCGGGTATATATAAAAAGTCGAATATATAAGGGTGCACCCTTATAGCTATCGAGACGCAACCACCCCTACGCAAGAATGGAGACTTGGAGCTACTAACACATACAAACACCATTCACGTGCGATGTGTAGTTTTGGCGGAAAAGTGAAATATAGGGACACACACACGTCCATTTATATATATATATATATATATTTTATTTTAGAAATAAAATGACACAATTAAACTTTTTAACTTTTAAATAAGTAATTTCATTAGAGATATGGGCTTGAAAGTGGTTGAAAGTGGCTTTCTATTTCGAATGTTTTGTTCGAATTTGTTCGAATTAAATTCGAACATAAAATTCGAATATTGGTTCGATTATAGAACGATTGTAAACGTTCCAGAAACGTTGAAAATAGTTCGTTTGACTGGACGTGAACAGGAGACGTTCAGAAATAGAATCGGGACCAGGTAGTGTTGATATAAAGCGGTATGCAAGATTTACAGGCGGTTTTTTTGTGCTTTTGTGGGAAATCGAACATATTTTTATGCTTATCTAAAAATTCTTTGGAAACGTCTGGAAACGGGAGACATAATTTTTGCATTTTGTGAAAACGGGTAAGATTGGCTATAATGTAATTATCTTAATCGTCACTATCGTTACTTTTTGTTTCACGAAGCGAGTCTTTGCAGATAGTATGTAAATATAAATTATATAGGTTAGTACACAGACTCTGCTTAACGATTCTGTAAGAACTAAAATAATTAAGTTATGCATATATCTTAGAAAATCCCATTATAGTTTAGTTTAAACGTCTGGTAAATGTATTTTGAAATGCTAACCACCGAGAAAATAATCTCTCGTAATATTAATAATTTTTATTTTTGTAATCAATGCAGTACTATTAAAGCATATATTTTTGAATGTTTATCTCTGGATCAATTTCATCAATGTATGCCTGAATTTGTGATTAGTCTGTACATCAAGGACTGCATCAAGGATTTTTGTTTAAGTCCGTATTAATTTGAATTCAATTTTTCTAACATTTATATTTCTTCCTGTCGATGACATTTTCTCTTCAAACTCCAAACTTATTTTGATGTTAGCGAACAGAGCAAAGTCATCCGAGAGATATTGAATGTTTAAGAATTAATGAAGGTTTTGTTGAGTAGATATAAAGAAAATTTCGTATCTAATAACCATAAGCAAGTAGATTCGTTTCTCATAATCTGCATTTGCAATCAGTTAACCTTGTTGCTGACATATGATATCATAAAAATTCCATCAAAATAAAATAATGAATATATGTAAAGTTTTTTTGCTTTATGAAACAATTAATTAAGCTTGTGTTAAAATTTCGTGAAGCAAAACACGTGAAAATAGTTTCGTTTTTGCAAATTTCATTTTATGGACAATTTCATTGCTATCTTTGTTGAAATCACTGACTACTTCTTTTAGTTCTTCAGGTTCTTTAGCTATCAGGATGATATCGTCTTAGACGGTTGAAGTGATCCTCATCTATATATACCTTTGTCATTCCAATCTAATTTACGGAATACATTCTCTAAAGTTGCAATGAAGAGCATGGGTGATATCGAGTCTCCTTGTCGAATGCGTTTGGTTGTATTGTAAAATTGTAGAGTTATCATAAATTTTAACTTTAGCTTATGCTTATATGTATATGTTGGCTAGAGTTTCTATGTATGATTTTTCAATGCCTTGGTTGGTTAATGCTCTGACATATATGGAGTCGAAAGCTTTTTTGAAGTTAATGAAGGCCATTGATCGTGGTATTCGATATTTATTGGTATGGTTTAATAATTTTTTTACTGTTTGTATATGATCTATTGTATTGACACCACTTCAAAAGCCAGCCTATTCCAGTGGTTGTGCAACATTTAATGTGTTTTTTAATCAGTTATTGATAA